ACGGCAGAGCGAGGGCAGAGCGGGGAATTCGGGGCCGCCTGTCACACCTCCTCGGAGAAAGTCTGCAGCTGGTCCTTGGAGTAGACGTACTGCCAGATGCGCTCCATGTCGTTCCAGTCCCGCACCACGCCGTGCTCCATGGGGTAGCGGATGGCCAGCAGCCCCCGGTGCTCCTGCGGGGTAAGGTGGGAAGGTCAGCCGGAGCGCCGGTCCCCTCTCCAGCAACCGCTTTCTGCCTTCCTGGAAGCCGCCCCTTCATCTGCCCCGAATAGAACCACCACTGCTTCCTGGCTGTCCCCAAGCCTGGTGGCAGGTCCTACACTCAGCACAGGCTCCTCTGTCCAGCAGCAGCTTCTCAGGCCCTCAGGGCCCAGTCAGCTTCAACTGGCAGGGGACAGCAAGGGTGGTGATGTGCTCCCTCCCATGCTAGTCCTCCCCTTCCTCCCCTGGCTGTGCTTCGGGGGCTTCTCTACTTGCCGCCAACACATTCTCCCCTCTTCTCCCCTCACACTGCCCAGTTTCCTTCCCCACCACTCTGCGGTGACTGCTCCCGAGCCAGGAGCCGCCTTGTGGCCCATCCCACGTTGTTCTCTCCTGTGGTCACCTGTTGCTCACCGCTCCTTCCAGCTTTTCAGCCACTGCTCACACGTCCTGCATGGACCTGCCCTTCGGTGGCCCCCCAGAATGTGCCCCCTTTCACCAAACACCACCGGACCCCTCTCACCCACAGCCATGGCTCCTACTGACCCCACCTCCTGAGAGGCCCGCATCTCTGCACCCCTGGCTCAGGCCCCCTCCCACTGTGTCCCCCAGGTGCCTAAACTGCACTTGCTGCTGCCCCCCTACACCTCCGCTCCTCCCCCCGGGGCCTCCTCTGGCCATGCAGCACTTAGACAAGCCACCCCACCTGGAGTGTAAGAGGTGGCCCCACGACACTCATTTCTATCAGTCATCAAGTCTGAGGGATCCAGACTCTTAAGTCACTTTTTAATCAACTCTTTCCTCTGTAGCTTCCAAATCGCTCTACAAGACAGGGCCTGAAGTAGTCTGTTCCCCCATACAGGAACCCTCGTGCCATCTCAGGGCGTTTCCGAGCTGGAGCCTTGAGAGCCCAGGAAGATACCAGACAGATGGCCCCAGAAAACAGATTCCCTCTCGGGAGGTATAGCTCTGACCACGAGCCCATGTTCCCGGGACTATGAAGACCCCAAGCCCAGGCAAAGGCAGGCCCCACAGGTGTTACCTCTGCTTTTGGTCCAATGAAGAGGTCCCCCTCCAGGGCTCCAGCCATCACTCGCATGTGCTTAGGGCGCCCGACACTGCAAGGACAGGTCGAGTCAGCAAGGTGGATGGGGGGCGTGGGTGAGCCCACGTCTAGGAAAACCAGTCTAACTCTGTGGTCAAAGGGTAACTGCTCCAAAGCATCTGGACGTGGCCACGTGGCAAAGGCCAGAACCCAGGCCTAGGGGATATGGGCCTACAGAGCAGGCCTCAGCAGGATGGCATGCTCAGGGTCAGAAGAAAAGGTATCCTTTCCATTCCCCACCCTCCCTCCCAGAGAAGGCGGAGAGCTCTGGAATCTCGGGCCCTTCATGGTCCAGCCCTGGCAGAGGGTCAACTTCTGTAGCCACAATGACTCAGCCCACGCTCTCGATTTCAGGAGGGCAGGGCTGCCGCCACTGTCTACAGACCAAGGTCCCAAAGTTGGGTCATGGCTCCCTTGTGCACCCCTCTCTCATTCATTTGATCCTGCCCCTGCCCACTGCCAGGGCTTTCAGAATACAGATTCAGTTCTTGGAAGACTGGACGACCTACCATTCCAAAATTTGCCCCAAGTTCCCTGCACATCAATAGGAACTTTTAATTGTACCGAAGTGGGGTTCAGAAAAGAAAGCTGAAGCCCTACTGAGTGCTTGGTGCTCCAAACTGGCCCTGTCCCCAGACCAGGCCTGGGGTTCTTGGTATAGCCAGCCACTTTGGGACCCCCCAATGCCCCTGCTTAGGCCAATCCCTCTAAAACCTCCAGGATTTGAGAAGAAGCACCACCTAGGAAAAACTTCCCGATGGGCTACAGTAGCCGAAGGAGCACTCCAGGTTTATTTCGTGCTTTCCCCCCTCTTACCCCTACTGTCACTGGCTCTATTCAGGGGAAACACTCCCCTTGACCGAAACCCATTATTTTCTAGAGTTGGAAAATAAACAAGCTCTGAAAGAAACATTTCCTGGGAGGAAAGGATGGCTGTGCATTAATGCTCCACTCTTTCTCCTCTGGGTTTAGGTTTTGCTCCCAGAGCTGTCTCCCTTCCATTCTTGCTGCTGCTATGCCACCCTGTTCCCAACAGAATGCTGGTGGCTTCTCCTTCCTCCCTGGCTCAAGGGGGGACCAAAATGAGACTTCAAAGAGGAGGAAGCCCACAGCACTTGTCTTGTCCTTCCAGAGCCGGTAACAGCATTAGCCTCACAAGTCTGGTGTTTTCCCTTATAGGTGGGGGGCAAGAGTTGGCTTCAAAGAGAGCTGTGACAGAGAGCCAATGTTCTTCTAGGAATCCAACAAAAAGGTTGGGGCTGCTGCCTGAGCAACACTTACTAGTTTGGGAAACAGTATTTGGGAATCTGGTCTCCTGCAAAGCCAGCCTTGATCACCCCCGAACCCTGCAAGGAAAAACAATGTTTAGCTCCTGACATACACCTCCAGATGAAGGCAGTGCCCTGCAGTAGAGAGAACTGGCTGCTCCATCATGGCAGCCCGCGGAGGAAGTCTGAGATCCTGCCAAGAGGGCAAGATCATTTACAAGGACACCAGGGATTCACCAACTAGGGGGTGATTTTACACCCCTCCTCCCAAATTTGACAATGTCTGGAGACTGGGGAGGGGAGAGCAGGGGGAGAGGGCTACTGGCACCTAGGGGGTAGATGCCAGGGATCCTACTAAATATCCTACAATACACAGGCCAGCCCCTCACACACCAAGAATTATCTAGAACTATCTATCTATGTCAATATTGTGGAGATTGAGAAAACATGAAGTACATCCTCCTCTGCACACTCTAGGGTCAGTTCCAGGCAGGAAGAATCCATAGCAGCATAAGCTACTCCCCAAAGTCAGCTAGAAGCAACCTCCAAGCATAGTTTTTTTTTTCAATAGCCCCTGGCCACCCCCACCTCCCATCCCAGCAGACATTGACTTCATACAGGACCCACCCGGGGAAGATCACTGTGTACACAGTGACAACTGGCACCTCTCTTCAAGTGGCTTCTCCAAAGACTACAGGTAAAGAACTTGGTCCCGCCACTGCTCCAGCATGGAAACTAGACTTAGGATCTTAAAGGGAACCTGATCTAGAAACCTCCCACTAATGAAGGAATCAGCCTCTCAACCTCACTTCCCACAGATCACCGTCACAACCTTTTGGTGCAGTGCAGAAATAAACATCCTCTCGTTAGAGAGGAGGGGCTGGAAGCCCACGGGGACCAGGAAGGTTGTCCTCTGAACTCCTAAGCCTGTTGGTTAGCCTAAGTGAATGATCTGCCCACCAAGAAAGGAAGTGTCCTAGTCCTTCCTGTAGCCTGTTGGAGAGGACCTCTGAGCCCAGTTCTAGCCTTCTTATTAAACATCCCCTGCTGTGATTCAAGGAGCCCACGTGGATACTCCGAGGGGGAAAAAAAAAAAAAAAAGCCATTCAGGATTACATGGGGGTCATGTGGGAGGGAGACACATCCCAGAAAGAGGAGTGAGTCATAATCAAAAACTCCAAGGCACACACAGCTCAGGCAGGTACCCAGCTAGGGGCAGATCTATAGATCTCCTGCCCTTCATTTTCCTCCCATGGACCGGAAAGTTCTGAGGTCAGAAATCCTCAGAGGCCAGCTGAAAACATGCTGAGCCTCAGTGCTGAAGGACAAGGCCACAAGGAAGCCAGGCAACTTTTCTCTGAAGCTTCCAAACCATTATCCGAACTCTCCCCACTGTCCTGCTAGCTGTGGAATTTCTGCTCAGCTCGGGCAAGGAGTACTTAAGGAGAGGGTCAAAGTAGCCAAGTGGCCAACCAGGTGATGGTGGATATGTGGTTGGCAGACCAGTCAAAGAGCCCAGTAGGGCCTGTCCACTCTGGGCGTCCTGCTAAGAGTTGCAGCCTCTTGGGAAGTGCTGTTGTAGAGGTCACCAAGCGAATTCTCTCTGAAAGATCAGACCAGCACTGTGCAAAAGGACAAATGCTATCTCTCCTCTTCCACGAGGAGGGGCACCCAGAGCCCGAGAAGGGGGTAAAGGGGCTGGGGCCGAAACCTAACCAGTGACCCCCCCTTCCAACCAAGAAGTGCTCAGAGTGCATCCCCAGGCCTGACACACGGGTGCATGGCTGGGCCGTCGGGCTGTCACTCCAGCACTCCGGATGCTGATCAAGTGTCGCCAGACAGATGGATCCCCTGCCTCTCCAGTACGCCCCCGCCGGGGTCGGGGGTGGGGGGCGCTTCGGGCAGGAGCTCCGCTGCACCGGTGGAGGGGCTGGCCCCAAGGCCCGGGCGACAGAGCCAGCTGAGCAGGAGAGCCCTAGGCGGACGTGGCGGGCGGGCAGTGCATGGAGGACTAGTGGAGACTGGCGGGGGTCCCTCCCGGCGCCGCCGCGTGCGCCCCGGGGGGCAGGGCGCCCGTCCTCCCCCCGACTGCCGGGCCTCACGTTGTCGATGACCACGGGCTGGTTGGCGATAATGTCGTAGGACTCCATGGCCCGGCCGGGCCGGCCCTGCCCAGCGGGGGGCTGCAGGAGCGACCGGCGGGCGTGCGGACCTAGAGCGCGGCCGCTCTAGACACGGTGCCGCGCCCCTCCCATCCCGCGCGCGCAGCCTACGCTAGCCCCGCGGGCCTTGCTGGAGAGCGCCCCCCCCCGCCCCGGCCAATCACCGCTCCCACTCGTGCGGATTGACGGCGGGCGCCCGGGGCCTGCTGCGGGCAAAGGGGCGGGGCCTCCGGGTGCTGACCAGCCAATTGAGGCCTCCCGGAAGTATTGCAGGAGCGCTTCCAAGGTAGGCTGCGCAGTGTTTTGGGGGGGCGGGGGTGACGTCATGGCTCGGCTCTTAAAGGGGACCCGGGCAGAGTCTAGGGGGTTCTGAGAGTCACCTGTCCTGGAAGACTTCGTTCCCGAGCGGCAGCACCTGCGACCACGCTACTTCGTGAGCTCGTAGTCCCCGAGGAGGCCGGGGCTGGGTATTTTACCCAAAGCATTTCTTTACCGAGCCCTGGGGAGAATCCTTTTCCGTGTAAAAATTACAGTTCTGTGGTAACTTGGTAGCTGGCTTTAATCGAACACATGCTATGTGTTTGCGGAGCACTTCTACCCATTTTACATAGATTATATTAAATCCTTGCAATAACTGTCAGGTAGCTGTATTCTTATTCCCATTTCGCAGATGTGGGGACCGAGGGGCCTCGCAACTCTGTAACTAGTCCGGGGCTATCCAGCTAGAACAGCTGAGGTCAGCATGCCCACAGCCTCCAGCCCCGCGGGGATCTGTTGCCTCAAGGGTGCAAGGGATCGAGTCCTAAATTCATTTACCAAACTGAGCCATGGTTATTTGCTTCTACTTACACCTTTCCCACTAAACTGTGAGATTAAATTTGGTAAAAGTGAAGCACAACATTATACAGAAAAGTGCAGAAATCACATTTCAATGAATTATTACAATGTGGGCACACTTGTATAACCATAACTGAGTTTAAGAAACAGAGCATGAGGGCGCCTGGGTGGCTCAGTTGGTTAAGCGACTGTGTTCGGCTCAGGTCATGATCCTGGAGTCCCTGGATCGAGTCCCTGGATCGAGTTCCGCATCGGGCTCCCTGCTCAGCGGGGAATCTGCTTCTCCCTCTCCCGCTCCTCCCTCTTGTGCTCTCTCTCTCTCTCTGACTCTCTCTCTCAAATAAATAAATAAAATCTTAAAAAAAAAAAAAAAAAAGAAACAGAGCATGAGCAGCACCCCAGAAGCTACCCGCTCCTCTCAGTCGCTGCCCGGCTCCTCCTCCGAGGTGACTGCTTTCCTGAATTAACACCAAAGGTTAGTTTTGCCTATTTAGGAACTTTATGCAAATGGAATAATAAGTATGCATTCATAAAATGGGCTAGTGTGCAACCATTAAAAATAATGAAGTTTTATATAATTTCATATGAAACACATCAGGACATAGGGCTAAGTCAAAGCAAAGAAAGCCAGACCTAGTGTCCAAAATGTTATATGTGTGAGAGTTTCCAAAGAGTTTATGAGGCAACTTCAGGGTTCACATGGGAAAGGGACCACTGGTAAATGTGGGTGAATGAAGGGAGAATTCTTTTTTTTACAATATACTTTTTTTTTTTTTGCTATTGAATTGTTTATAACTTGTTCTGTATATATATTTTTTCCCTCATTTTTTTTATTGTGGCAGAATACACACAACATAAAATTTACCATCTTAACCATTTTTTTTTTCCATCTTAACCATTTTTAAGTGTACAGTTGAGTGGTATTAAATACATTCGTAATGTGCAACCATTACCATCATCCATCTCCAGAACTCTTTTCATCTTGTAAAACTGCAACTTTGTACTTATTAAACAGTAACTCCCCATTCCCTCTCCCCTCAGGCCAGGGCAACCACTGTTCTACTTTGTTTCTATGCATTTAGATACCTCATAGTTATTCTACTTGGCATATCCTCAAGGTTCATCCATGTTGTAGCATGTGACAGGATTTCCTTTCAAGGCTGAATAACATTCTATTGTATGAATATACCACATTTTGCTTATTCATTCATCTCTTGAGGGACCTTGGGTTGCTTCCACATCTTAGCTACTGGGAATAACACTACCTAATGAACATGGGTGTATAAATGCCTCTTTGAAGCCCTGTTTTCAATTCTTTGGCATATATAGCCATATATAGGGTTGCTGGATCATATGGTAGTTCTATTTTTAATTTTTTGAGGAACGACCATGCTGTTTTCCATAGCAGCTGCACAATTTTACATTCCAAACAACAGCCCAAGAGGGTTCCAGTTTCTCCACATTCTCATCAACACTTGTTATTTTCTGGTTTTGTTTTTGTTTTTGTTTTTAGTAGCCAACATAATGGGTATATGGTGGTATCTCATCATCGTTTTGATTTGCATTGCTTTAATGATTTGTGAGGTTGAGCATTTTTCATGTGCTTATTGGCCATTTGTATATCTTCTTTGGGACAATGTCTATTCAAATATTTTGTCCATTTCTGAATTGATTATTTGTTGTTGAGTTTTAGGAGCTCTCTACACATTCTGGATATTAATCCTTTATCAGATATTTGCAAATATTTCCCCCATTCTGTGGATTGCCTTTTTACTCTGTTAATAGTGTCTTCTGATGCACAAATTTTTTGCATTTTCAGGAAGCCTCATTTGTCTATTTTTGTTGTTGTTGCCTGTGTCTTCGGTTTCATATCTGAGAAATTATCACCAAATCCAATGTCCTGAAGCTTTTGTCCTGTTTTATTTAAAAAAAAATTTTTTAAGATTATTTATTTATTTATTTTAGAGAGAGAGAGAGAGAGAGAGCATGCACACGTGCCGGGGAGGGGCAGAGGGAGAGGGACAAGCAGACTCCCTGCTGAGGAGAGCCCCATGGAGGGCTGGATCCCAGGACCCTGAGATCATGACCTGAGTCAAAGTCAGACGCTTAACCAACTGAGCCACCCTGGCAACCCCTTGCCCTGTTTTATTTTAAGGATTTTATAGTTTTAGTTCTTATATTTAGGACTTTGACCCATTTTGGGTTTTTTGTATATAATGTTGGGTAAGGGTCCAACTTTATTCTTTTGCATGTGGATATCCAGTTTCCCAGCACCTTTTATTGAAAAGACTGTCCTTTCCCCATTGAATGGTTTTGGCATTTGTCAAAATCGTTTGACCACATATGTGAGGGCATATTTCTGGGCTCTCTGTTCTAGTTCATTGGTCTGTATGTCTGCCTTTCAGATATATTACTTTTTAAATGAAATAAAAAAACTGAAGTGGAAAAGTATCTGCATGACAAACAGCGAAGCATTTATGAAAGAAGTGCTAGGGTTCTGCTTGCGAAGAAACTCCATGAACCCTGGGCAGCAGGGGCAACAGTGCTGGGGGAGGAATGGCTGAAAAGGGCCCCCAAAGTACATGTTATTGAAGGCTATAGAGCGAACCCGGCTACAGAGGCAGGAGGGCAGGCTCATCAATTATCCTCTAAGACAACCATGAAGAGGAGGAGCTCAGAAACCTTACTTTGGAGGGAGAAAGGGACAAAGAGAAAGAAAAACTGGGAGGGGCAGGAGAGAGTGATAAGGTGAGAGAATCCCCCAAACCTGCAAGGCCAGCCACTCCTTCCTTGCTCCTTCTAGCTTCTCTCAGCATCTCCCCCATTTCTTTTTTTTTAATTTTATTTTTTTAATTTTTAAAAATATTTTATTTATTCATTTGACAGAGAAAGACACAGCGAGAGAGGGAACACAAGCAGGGGGAGTGGGAGAGGGAGAAGCAGGCTTCCCACGGAGCAGGGAGCCCGACGTGGGGCTCGATCTCAGGACCCTGGAGTCATGACCTGAGCCCCTGGGATCATGACCTGAGCAGAAGGCAGACGCTTAACGACTGAGCCACCCAGGCGCCCCTCCCCCATTTCTTATCTGGATGGCTCCCTAGCTCTTAGAGTCCTTTGATCTTCTCAATTTCAGTAACTATTCCTTATACCCACGTTACCAATAAAGACAAAAGTTACCAATGCAGGTCAGTTCTTAGCACGCCTGGAAGAACCATCGGATAGGGTTTTTGGGGATTTCCCCGAGAGACAGACCCCAAAAGAAAGACAGAGAGGATGGAATGCTCTGCCTGATGCTACCTCCTCATTCTTTCTACTACAGATACCCAGCTGTGGCCACCAATGATTTGAGAAAAATTAGTGACCAAGCAAAACTATTGAGGAAATACTGTCAACTAAATTACCTGAAAATTGGATGAGTTCTTGCTGTAGCCTGAGTGCTTCCCCTTTGATTTCTGTTGGATTTCCTTTTAAGATCTTATCTTATTATTTCCTTGGGCACTTAGGATGGAAGATTGGGGTGAACTGAAGAGTCAGATGCCTGGGTGTAATTTGCTATCTTCAAATCAGAACCCTATCATTCTGTTTCATTTTTGTGTATCTCACAGGTGAAAACATAGGGTCACCTTGTTGTACATTGCATTTTCTTACGCTCTGTGAAATAGAAATGACATACAGTAAACTGCATATATATAAATAGTACAGTTTGGTGAATTTTGACATATGAATACACCGTGAAACCATTTTCCCCAATCAGGATAATGAAGATATACATTGCCCTGCAGTTCATCATGCACCTTGGTTAAGCCCTTCCTTTCCTCCCCCTTTCGCCCCTTTATCCTTAGACAAGCACTAGCCAGGACTTTCTGTACTATAGATTAGTTGTCATTTTCTAGAATTCTCTATTGTATATGATTACATGGTTATACATAATACAGTATTTATATATTTAAATATATAGAATAAATTGTAATATAGTGGGATTTTAAATTGTATGTAAATGGACTACATAAATGCACTCATCTGTATGTATCTTTTGTTGTCTGACTTCTTTCACTCAGCACATGTATTTTGAGATTGCTTCATGTTATTGCATGTAACATGTTTGTTACTTTTAATTGTTTAGTAATTTTATCTTATTTTATTTTTTAAATTTTATCTTA